GTGGAAACATTTCTGCGCTATTTTTCACATGCCTGTCCTCGCACTTGGCGACAGTGGCTGGACCAAGCAGAGTTTTGGTACAATACCAATTGGCATTCGGCTCTCAGGCGCTCCCCATTTGAAGTTCTGTATGGGTATGTTCCCCGTCATTTTGGCCTTCCTGACAGTCCAGATGTTCCAGCGACAGAGGTGGCCACCTGGGTTTCCGACAGAGCTCTTATGACTGAAATCATTCGTCAGCATCTCAACCGTGCCAAGCAACGCATGAAGAACTATGCCGATCAACATCGCTCTGAGCGTCATTTTGAGGTAAATGATTGGGTGTTTGTGAAACTTCAACCATACATTCAATCTTCCTTGAGTCGGCAACAAATCATCTTTCAAATTTTTGGACCATACCGTGTGGCTGCTCATGTGGGTACCATGGCCTATCGATTGGAGCTGCCCGCTTCTTCCTCTATGCATCCAGTTTTTCATGTGTCCCGATTGAAAAAAGTCGGTCGGTGCTTCTCATACCGTCACACCTCATCCCCTTCAGCGGATGTCATTTGGAGTATTCCTGAACGGATTTTGCAAGTCCGATCCGTGTTCAAAGGTAACCGTTCACTCTCTCAAGGACTGATCAAGTGGTGTCATTTGCCACCTTCTCTAGCCACATGGGAGGACTTGGAGCATCTCTGACAGCAGTTTCCTCGCGCCACCGTCTAGAGTCGGCTTGGCGCGCAAGGAGGAGGGGATGTTACGACCCAAGATGCTGAGCCATGCCTGCCATCAGAAGAGGAGGCCGCCACACATGGGCCTGGGCCGTATCCAAGGCGCTCCACCAGGCCAAGGAAGCCGAGCACGCGCACCAGCGGAGTCGAGTGGACGACAGCGTGAAGCGGCCGGTCTATGGGAAATCTGATAAATGTAATAGGTTAGAGGAGAGAGAGGGTAATCAGGAAAAGCTTGAATCAATTACCCTGCCTCCGGAGTCTTCCTCTGAACCGCCCCCTTGCTTGCTCTCCTTCCTTCCCTTCCAATCCAACTGTTACTCGTCGGAATCTATTAAACTTGTCTCGGTCGTGACAAAAATCTGGTGCAAGAACACACAACAAACGGTGGCGGGTATGTATACATAATACATGTACACTACCTATTAATAATAGTTTATTATTATCATTGCTATGATGCAACGGTGTTATATAGGCATACACAAATTTATTTAATTGGCATATGTGGTATTATTAGATTGGAGCATATGCTATATTATTCACATATATATACGTATGAGAATTACAATCGTGTGACTTACTTTAAGTATCCTATATTGTGAACTTTTTATGATGTCTCCTGTTAGAATCACAAACACGTGCTTGTCTCCCCTACTAGTTTTATATAGACACAAGTGTGTGTGTATTGTTCAGATCGTGCGTCCTAGTTGTTCCAATATAATAATGTACCCCAACTGCTCTGATAGCATATCTTAGCAGTCTCAAATTTGTACTGTACTATTTGTTTGACATAAGCCTGGACTTGTCATTTGTCATCACTTTTGATGTCTCCGTTGCTCATCTTGGATTCCGACGTTTTGTCACCTTCGTCGTCTTGTCCTCTGCCTTTCTTTGCCTCGTCTTCCTCTCTGGCCTTCTTTGCTGCCTCGGCCGCCGCCTCTGCCTCTGCTTCTTCCTTCGCCTTGGCCGCCTCCTCCTTTGCCTGCTTCAGAGCCTCCACAAGACTCTCCAAGCACGCGTTGGCGTCCCTCTTCTTCTTCTTGGACATGGGCATCAGGTTCTCGGCCACATCTGCCGGTGACATGTCAGTCTCCTCAAGAAGCTGCCCTATCTGCCCGAACAGCTCGTGCTCCTCGACGTCGAGGTAGTTCTTGGCGAGCACCTTGAACGCCCGGAAGCGGCAGTAGGACATCTCGATGTGCCTGTCCATCCTGCCTCTCCGGATGAGCGCCGGGTCCACCTTGTCCTTGTGGTTGGTTGTGAAGATGATGATGCGCTCGCCGCCGCACGCCGACCACAGGCCGTCGATGAAGTTGAGCAGCCCCGAAAGGGTGACCTTGCTGTCTTCGTCCTTGTCGGGCTCCATCGGCAGCTTGGGCTTGTCGTCACCGTCTGCTGCCTTGTCGGACTTGGCCTTCTTGTCCTTGCGCTTTCCGGTGAGGTCGACGGAGCAGTCGATGTCCTCGATGACGATGATGGACTTGCCGGTCGTCTCGATGAAGAGCTTCCGCAGCTCGGTGTTGTTCTTGACCGCCGTGAGCTCGAGGTCGTAGACGTCGTAGTCGAGGAAGTTGGCCATGGCGGCGATCATGGTGGACTTGCCGGTGCCCGGGGGCCCATAGAGCAGGTACCCTCGCTTCCACGGCTTGCCGACCTTGGTGTAGTAGTCCTTAGCCTCCCGGAACGCCTGGAGCTCGTCAAGGATCTCCTCCTTGCCGTCGGGGTCCACGGCGAGCGTGTCGAACGTGGCCGGGTGCTCGAACGGGACGTGGCTCCAGACGTTCTTGCCACGGTAAGAGTTCCAGCTGCCGCTGGGGTTGTTGGTGAAGAGGCGGCGCTGGCGGTTGCGGACGGTGACGGCGCGGCCTTCCTCGAGGACGTACGGCAGGTACCTGTCGACGACGAGGTCGCGGTGGCGCCGGTGGAAGACGACCCGGTAGGTGCGCGGGTCGTCCTGGTTGCCGTAGAGGCTGATGACGTTGGACCTGGGCACCTTCTTGGCGACGTACCACCAGACCGTGGCGCCCTGGTAGGCGTCGGTGACCTCGTCGTTGTCGCCGACGGACACCTGGAGGTTGCTGCTGTCCCTGCCGAGCTCGGCCTTGAGCTTGCGGGCGCGCGGCGCGCAGGCGTCGGAGAGGTAAGCCTCGGCGGCGAGGAAGAAGTCGCTGCGGCGGAAGCGCTCGGCGCCGTACTCGGAGATGGTGATCTCCAGGTAGGGGTTGAAGTAGGAGGCGAGCTTGTTGGCCCAGGTGGCGACGCGGTGGCTGAGGGTGACGGGGACGTGTCTCTGCACCATGGACCACAGGAAGAGGAAGCTCGCGAGCGCCGAACCTAGGCCCGTCCACTTGTCCACCACCGCCATGGCTGTTGTGTGTGTTGTTGCCTAGCTCTAGCAAGCAGGCTTTTCTTGGTACAGGCACAGAGGCACTTGCTTGTTAACTACTCACTTTGAACTTATAGTAAGCACATGGTACATTGTTTGATCTCAAGTGCCGATCGATGTCAGTTTATATAGACGACCATAGCCGCCATGGCTCATCATGGGAAATGAATGCAGCTAGCTCAGCTACTTGACTTGGAGTCAACTGCTGCATGCCTGGTTGCCGTTCGTTGTCTCCTGTCTCTGTCTGTTTCCTAGTGGATCGGAAGGAAGTAGCAAGGAGCAAAGGTATGTATGCTAGCAGTAGCAAAGGTAGAATTTGCTTTGAAAACAATGAAACCCGGCCGCCCATAATATGCGTCATCATCTAGACATCAGCTACTATGTACTAAAGTAATATACACACAAAATGATTGGTGGGGCAGATGCTAATGGACGCACGAAACTTGATGTAATTGGCTTGCAGACGAATTGCCATGACTTGATCGGATGCATATGCGTGCACTGCAAGCTAGTAGTCATGTTATGTTGACACTTGACAGTCGGCGATTGAGACGATCCGTCCAGAACATATGCACAGTCTGGCCAGTTCAGGAGATCATCAAATACAAATACTAGTTGTCTCGTGCGTGTGCACATATACATACGTTTTCTCAAGTTTATTTATTGGTCTAGCCTAGTAATAATAATTATATTATATATAAATATGCGCCATGACGACGCCTAGCAGAGACACGTACAAAGCGTCGCAGAGCATTCAGCTTCTTAAGGTCAGAAGATACCGTGCTGCCTCCGCCATGGTATATTCCTGCATGCACGCACGAGAGAGTCAAACTTGCAGCATGGGTCATGCCTCGTTCCACGAATGAAAATTTGCATCAGTCTTGCTATGCTGCTGCGTGAAGCATGACACACCTATTTGGCTCTTGGCTGCCCATCAATCTTACGGTTGCTAATTGAAAACTCTACTTCGGTTCTCACAAGATCGATGCACTATAGAAAGATAAAACCTAAAAAGTATATGATACTCCGCACTGTGTTGTGAAATTATTGTTTAGAAGATATGAAATTGCATCGTGAAGCATCTTAAAACTCCAGGCCTCCACCCTAGCCCGATCTTTTTTCTGAACCTCCATGTCACGTACCTTTTTATTATGAAGGGTTATGTACCTTAGGTATTGTCACCCAGGTGTTTAGTGTCAAGCTAGCCCTACCGAGAGTTCCAACATATTTAACCGGACATGGATAAAGCGCGACCCCAGGCTGTGCAGTGGCTGTGCGGACGTTGGCGAGTAGCGACCCACTCACCGGCTGAACGACACCAGCCCAGCCCCAGGACCGAGGCCCTGTTTGTTTCAATCTTTCTGAGTCTCGCTTATAAGCTGAACAGGCTTATCTGATAAGTCACGATATAGAGAATCTGCTGTCTGAATAAGCTGGGCGTTTGACTGTCCTTATCATTTCTGGTAGATTATCTGTCCTGGATGTAAATTGACCTATATACCTCTGAGGCTGATGATACTTTTTTTTGATTCGTCACAATGATATGAAGGCAATGGTGCCAATATTTTTAAAGTTTCAGATAGCAATATGGTTCCATTAAGATCAAAAAAATGACATGCGTTGCAGTGGGGATGGAGTGGCAGCCGACAGTGGGGATGGAGCCCTTGCTGGATCCGGAGCAGGCTGGCGCACCGGCGGATCCGGAGCAGGCCTGCAGATCCGAAGCAGGCTGGAGCACCCGCGGAAGGGGAGGGAAGGCCGCGCCTGGGGAGGAGCACCGGCGCCCAGGCTGGTCCTCCGGCGGAGTGGAGGGATGACGACGCCTTGCTGGAGATCCCGCGGAGGGGGAGGAGAGGGATGACGGCGCCCTGCTAGAGATCCGGCGGAGGCGGTGTGGAGGGATGACGGCGCCCTGGCTGGAGCACCGACGGAGGGGGAGGGGAGGGCCGCCGTCGCCCTTCCTTCAGATCTGGCCGAGGGGAGGGAATGGGAGGCGAGCAGGCGTTGGGGAATGGGAGGTGGTGGCGGATCTGGAGAGAGGAGGGAGGGCCGGGCGAGCAGGCGATGGGGAATGGCAGGCGGCGCCGGGGAGGGAGCGAACGGGAGCACGGTGTCGAGCACGGGACCGCTTGGGTCGGGAGGGAGGGGTAGGGAGAGGAAAAGCCTTCGCAATTTCGGAAAAGCGGGGTAAGGCTCGTGATTTTGGATACGTTGCGGGCGATAGGAGATTGCGGAAGCGCGTTCGCGACTGGACACTGATCGCAAGCCGTTTGTGCGGGATTACTTGCTTATTCCGCTCAGAAGTTGAGCATTCGCTGCCCCAAACACGGCCTGAGCACCACGCTCGTGAGCCGTGACCAAACCGGCGTAGGTACCTTGCACGGAAATCTAAAAAGAAAAACCATTTTATTTAAATTGCTATAACTTTTGAACGATATGTCCATTTTTAATTCCGTTTGCACCTGTATGTTCTACGTGACGAGCCGAACAAAACTAGATCCTATTTGCTTATGTTTCAAAAAAAATTTATTTTAGTAGAATTTATGTATAAAAATGTGATAAGAGATTTCTAAAATAAGTTGCTAACATGTAATACTAAACTTGCTACTCCGAAAATAAAATAAAGTTCTTACATGGTATGCAAATGATTGTTACCATATGAATATAATAAATTTGTTATATAATATTTATATAAAGGTACTAACTCCTAAGAGAGTAACGGACCAAAACAAGACAAACTGAAACTTGGAAGGGCAAATTATTAAAATAAACATTGCATAAGCTGCTGATTAGGAGGCAAGTTGTTACACAACACATTACAAAAAGCCAGGAAATTAACATGACTTGCTGCCACTAAGAGCATTTATTAAAAAATGAGGGTAACGGCACAAAACAAGACAAGCTGTAACCTGGGGGCACATTACTAAAAACAAGCATTGCTATAAGCTACCAGCTAGAGAAGCAAGTTATTATATAACCCATTATATGAGCCGAGGAACATGACGAGCTGCCAAATGGAGGGACATTTATTAAAAGACAAGAGTAGTGGCCTCAAATAAGACAAGCTGTACCTTGAGAGGCAAATTATTATAAGAAGCATTACATAAGGTGTTAACTTAGAGGGTAAGTTATGATACAACTATGATGTAGGATTCAGTAATGCATTCAAATCTGGAAGGGAAAATGAAATAATGAAACTCAAAACTCATTAAACTGAAACTAAAATAAACATTGAAAAAAGAAGATATTTAAAAGAAGGAAATATTGAAGAACAATTAACATGCAGGATTGAAATTGGCATTCAAACCTGAACAGAAAATTGAACCACTGAAAATAGCTACCAGACACTAAAACTGAAAATGACAACCAGAAAATAAAACTGAAAATGACAAATAGGAAATGAAAACTAAAGTAGACACAACGAAAAACATAAAAAAACTTGTTTCCAACTAGTAGGCGGTTATTACAAAATCCAGCAAACATGACTCGCTGCAAAATGAAACTGAAATGTCCTTATTGGATAACATGAATTTTGATCATGTCCTGCTCCTGGATGCCGCTGTCCCGCCAAACTGTTTGGATCAGATTCTATCAATTATCTTCATTTTGCATCAAACTTCAGTCTAGTATGATGAAAGCTATTGGTTTGTCAGTTTTGGTTTGAACCCGAACCATGTTAATTCACTCCCAGCCAATTGACAGGAAATTATTATTATTATTTTCCGAACCGAGGGTTCCTCCATTTCCATTAACAAACGGAAATACAGATGTTTGAGCAAGCAGTTAAAAAGAAAACAGATACGGGTGACCTATATCTGTATGCCACCTGACAGTCAAGTGACAGGAAATTCCTATTGATCCCACATTCCCACCTGCAGTTCCATACTAATGCTGGCAGTTTTGACCCCCAACTGACATCAATTCATTTTTGTTTACTTTTGCAACAGGGTTTTCTAGGCCTAAGTGGGGCAATACTTGTCCAAATTTACCGCACTCTCCACATTGATCCCAGCTCTTTCATACTGATGCTGGCAGTTTTGCCCACAGCCGTCACATTGGTGCTTATGTATTTTGTGGATGTCCACAACCCCAATGAACGGTACAACAAGAAATTCCTAGACGCTTTCTCCCTCATTGCTGTTACTGTTGCCGGATACTTGATGATTCTCATAATCTGTGGTCAAATTTTCTCGATAAGCTCAGCTGTGCAGAGCATTTGTTTCGTGGTACTCTTGATACTAGTGATGTCTCCGATAGCCGCCGCTTTAAAGTTCCAGACACCATATGAGGAATCAATATCAGAACAAAGGACTGGACTGCTCCGTGAAGAGGTCGCAGAGGATTCTGAAAATGCTACCTCCAGTACCGCACTTGGGGGATCTGACCAAGACCTGTCTGCTGGCAAAGAGAACCTGAATGTATTACAGGCCATGTGCAAACTCAACTTCTGGTTGCTCTTCCTAGCAATGGCTTGCGGAATGGGATCAGGTCTGGCCACGGTGAACAATATCAGCCAGATCGGCGGCTCACTTGGCTACACGACCAAGGAGACCAGCACACTTGTGTCACTCTGGAGCATATGGAACTTTTCAGGGCGGTTCGGTGCAGGCTTCATATCTGACCATTTCCTTCGCCAGCGAGGAATTGGGAGGCCATTCTTTATAGGTGTTACGCTGCTGATCATGAGCGTCGGTCATGCCATCATCTCCTCCGGTCTCCCTGCATCACTCTACATTGGGTCGGTGCTGATCGGCATGTGCTATGGGTGTCAGTGGGCCCTGATGCCGAGCATAACATCTGAGATCTTTGGGCTGAACCATTTTGGCACAATATTCAACATGGTGGCTGTTGCGAGCCCTGTTGGGTCTTACATCCTCTCGGTGCGCATTGTGGGCTACATATATGACATCGAATCTCCACCAGATGAGCAGTCCTGTGTAGGTAAGCAATGCTTTGCGCTCTCTTTCATGATCATGGCCGGTGTCTGTATGTTTGGGTCTGCTGCTGCGTTTGTGTTGTTTATCAGAACAAGGAAGTTCTATAGGCGTGTCATATACGCGAGGTTGCAGTCTTTTCTAGACTAGTGATAAGTCTTCATGAAAGATGATGGTATAACTTGCAATAATGCTTGTACATGTATATTATGTGAGTATTTGTATAAGCCTGAATATAACTTTTGGAGATTATTACATAGATGGAACATGATCTTCCACTCGTGGCCCGAACAAATATATACCTTTTACCATCACTCTACGACTAGGATTGATGTGTGGCTCCTATACTTCTTCTGTGAATTTACGATTGAAAAGGGGAAACCATATATACTGTCTTAGCCTATATGTACATCTTGGATGGCTTTATAGCATGTACAAATGTGAGAAGAAGATGAAGTGTCACAGTTGTTTCCTGTTTCCACAAATATCAATGCCTGTTTAACCCCCTTATCCTCAGTAACTATAGATGGATGTTTTTCTCACTTTACTTTCGAGAATGTGCAATGCACACGTTTTTTCTTTTTTCTTTTTTATAAGAATGTGGAAGAAACAAGGATTACACGGCACTGCCTGAAACAAGGATTACACGGCACTGCCTAAAAGTAGAGGACGAGAGCAGGGGTTACATGAAAGAAATTTACAGAGCAACTTGATAACCTATAGCACAACCGACAGCAGGCCTTACTGTGTTATTGAACAATGAGGATTGGCCACAAAACACGGAAAAAGGCTACTGGATTGCTTGATTTGGAGAGAGTGACACATTACATGTGCTTCTCTGAACATGAATGAACCACAACCACTCAGACTCCTAGTGCAGTAGTGCATATAGGACACTGCATTATTCAGCTATCTTTCTCCGTTGCTCATTCTGTACTTGTCACTTGTCGCCTTCCTTGATTTCTCCGTTGCTCATCTTGCTGTCCTTCCCTTTGTCTTCTCCTCTGTTTTCTGTTGCCTCCGCCGCTGCCTTGTCTTTCTCTTTGGCCTCCTTTGCCTCCGCTTCTGCCTTCTCCTTCGCCTTGGCCGCCTCAGCCAGCGCCTTAGCGGCCGCCTCCTCTTTGGCTTGCTTCAGAGCCTCCACAAGACCCTCGAAGCATGCGTTGGCATCCCTTTTCTTCTTCTTGGACATGGGCATCAGGTTCTCGGCCACATCTGCCGGCGACATGTCTGTCTCCTCGAGCAGCTGCGCTATCTGGCCGAACAGCTCGTGCTCCTCGACGTCGAGGTAGTTCTTGGCGAGCACCTTGAAGGCCCGGAAGCGGCAGTAGGACATCTCGATGTGCCTGTCCATCCTGCCTCGCCGGATCAGCGCCGGGTCCAGCTCGTCCTTGTGGTTGGTGGTGAAGATGATGATGCGCTCTCCGCCGCACGCCGACCAGAGCCCGTCGATGAAGTTGAGCAGCCCCGAAAGGGTCACCTTGCTGCCTTCGTCCTTGTCGGGCTCCATCGGCAGCTTGGGCTTGTCGTCACCGTCTGCTGCCTTGTCGGACTTGGCCTTCTTGTCCTTGCGCTTGCCGGTGAGGTCGACGGAGCAGTCGATGTCCTCGATGACGATGATGGACTTGCCGGTGGTCTCGATGAAGAGCTTCCGCAGCTCAGTGTTGTTCTTGACCGCCGTGAGCTCGAGGTCGTAGACGTCGTAGTCGAGGAAGTTGGCCATGGCGGCGATCATGGTGGACTTGCCGGTGCCCGGGGGCCCATAGAGCAGGTACCCTCGCTTCCACGGCTTGCCGACCTTGGTGTAGTAGTCCTTAGCCTCCCGGAACGCCTGGAACTCGTCAAGGATCTCCTCCTTGTCGTCGGGGTCCATGGCGAGCGTGTCGAACGTGGCCGGGTGCTCGAACGGGACGTGGCTCCAGACGTTCTTGCCACTGTAAGAGTTCCAGCTGCCGCTGGGGTTGTTGGTGAAGAGGCGGCGCTGGCGGTTGCGGACGGTGACGGCGCGGCCTTCCTCGAGGACGTACGGCAGGTACCTGTCGACGACGAGGTCGCGGTGGCGCCGGTGGAAGACGACCCGGTAGGTGCGCGGGTCGTCCTGGTTGCCGTAGAGGCTGATGACGTTGGACCTGGGCACCTTCTTGGCGACGTACCACCAGACCGTGGCGCCCTGGTAGGCGTCGGTGACCTCGTCGTTGTCGCCGACGGACACCTGGAGGTTGCTGCTGTCCCTGCCGAGCTCGGCCTTGAGCTTGCGGGCGCGCGGCGCGCAGGCGTCGGAGAGGTAAGCCTCGGCGGCGAGGAAGAAGTCGCTGCGGCGGAAGCGCTCGGCGCCGTACTCGGAGATGGTGATCTCCAGGTAGGGGTTGAAGTAGGAGGCGAGCTTGTTGGCCCAGGTGGCGACGCGGTGGCTGAGGGTGACGGGGACGTGTCTCTGCACCATGGACCACAGGAAGAGGAAGCTCGCGAGCGCCGAACCTAGGCCCGTCCACTTGTCCACCACCGCCATGGCTGTTGTGTGTGTTGTTGCCTAGCTCTAGCAAGCAGGCTTTTCTTGGTACAGGCACAGAGGCACTTGCTTGTTAACTACTCACTTTGAACTTATATTAAGCACATGGTACATTGTTTGATCTCAAGTGCCGATCGATGTCAGTTTATATATAGACGACCATAGCCGCCATGGCTCATCATGGGAAATGAATGCAGCTATAGCTCAGCTACTTGACTTGGAGTCAACTGCTGCAGCTGGTCGTTGCATGCCTGGTTGCCGTTCGTTGTCTCCTGTCTTTGTCTGTTTCCTAGTGGATCGGAAGGAAGTAGCAAGGAGCAAAGGTATGTATGCTAGCAGTAGCAAAGGTAGAATTTGCTTTGAAAACAATGAAACCCGGCCGCCCATATATAATATGCGTCATCATCTAGACATCAGCTACTATGTACTAAAGTAATATATATTTATGTGCACAGTCACACACAAAATGATTGGTGGGGCAGATGCTAATGGACGCACGAAACTTGATGTAATTGGCTTGCAGACGAATTGCCATGACTTGATCGGATGCATATGCGTGCACTGCAAGCTAGTAGTCATGTTATGTATATACTTTTCGTCCGGCAGTTGTGTTACACTTGACAGTCGGCGATTGAGATGATCCATCCAGAACATATGCACAGTCTGGCCAGTTCAGGAGATCATCAAATACAAATACTAGTCGTCTCGTGCGTGTGCACATATACATACGTTTTTCTCAAGTTTATTTATTGATCTAGCCTAGTAATAATAATGATATTATATATAAATATGCGCCATGACGACGCCTAGCAGAGACACGTACAAAGCGTCGCAGAGCATTCAGCTTCTTAAGGTCAGAAGATACCGTGCTGCCTCCGCCATGGCATGCATGCATGCATGCACGAGAGAGTCAAACTGGCAGCTTGGGTCATGCCTCGTTCCACGAAGTGAAAATTTGCATCAGTCTTGCTATGCTGCAGCGTGAAGCATGACACACCTATTTGGCTCTTGGCTGCCCATCAATCTTACGGTTACTAATTGAAAACTCTACTTCGGTTCTCACAAGATCGATGCACTATAGAAAGATAACCGGCCTGTTCGCTGTTTCGCAATTCAATGGTATGCATTTATTTCTATTAAAGATTTAATGTATATTTAAACATAGAACATTTAACTACCCTCATGTTTAGTCCAGTCTAAGGCTACAAAAATTATAGTGAGCACATAATAATACAATGAAGTTACTGTAAAAATTTTAGGATTAAAGCTATCACCAATTTACCACAAAAATTCCATCAATAATTACCTTAATAATATTAAGCATTTTCAAATGATTTAATAGCCTTTAGTATCAACATAGATATGTATGAACTAACTACACTATCAGGTAGACAATGATTTTAGGAATCTAACAAAATTAGTTTCACAATTTTTGGACACCTATACAAATTTATATTAATTATACAAATCTAGCTCAGAAATTAAAATAGAAAGCTATTACCCATTTCTAAGCAAAAAGAAAAAAAAAAAACCGACCTCGTGGCCCACAAACACGCGGACCACGCACGTCGGCTGGCCCACCAACGCGGCCCAAGAGGGAAACCCGCGCGGGCGCGGATCTTTTGCAAAAGAGACCCTGATCTTTTCCGAAACTACATCGCCATCCGTTTACTAATTCTTTCTCTCTCTGATCTCTTCACTTAACCCCCTGGCTTTCCTCTAATTTCCCCACACACACCCCTGGCTAACCCGTGCATGGCGGCGCGGTGAGCATTGGCATTGGGTGGCTACGCCGGCCACCAGAGGCTCACACAGGCCCATCGATCGGGCCGACCTCCAACTACGGCCTAAACGCCTACGCTAAGCGGCAACGCGGGGCGGCGGGACTCGCTGGAGCAAGCTGCGGTGACGCGCGGCCATCCGCGATGGTGGCGCGACTGTTCTGGCGAACCAGGGCACCTAAGGACCTAACCGGCTAACGAGCGAGCACTAGGAACTTACCGCGGGCTCGACCGGTGTGGTGGTTGTAGTGGAGGAGGTCGGGATGGGCTGGCTACGTGCGTGCGGTGAGCTCGGCAACTGGACGTAGGGCTATTACTCGATCACGGTCGAGGGCCTGAATCAGGATAAATCGACTGTCTCTTGCGTTTACCGTCCAGTTCCGCATACGCTGAAGCCCGAATAAAATGTCCCGGGTACCCCTGTGGCAGGCTATCGGTGGTGAAACATCGACAGCATCACCAATAATTTTTTTGAGCCTATTATACTGCCTCTCTTGGTGTTACCGGTAACAAACAAATATGATTATAGGCAAAAGGAAAACGAGCTCAATGTAGTGGACTGCTAATATTTGTTTGGGAATACAGCTAAGCAAGGTTTTTTTTTGGGAATTCAGCTAGCAGTTACTATGTCCGCTCAACCCTGTCAAATAATCACAGTGCCATGACCTGTCTATGGTTGATTGCTTATATCTGAATTTTGGTTTCTAGCATTGTCGTAAAAACATTCTGTTCACATCAACTTCTAGCATGTTCAATTTGTTCACAAAAAAAATGTATATATCTTTGTTTTAACTGGATTATTTGTATCACATGTTAATCAAAGTTTGATCTATTGGTATTGTTGAATGTTTATGTTCACA